CAGCCCTTAGAAGACACTCCTGTTGAGGCGCTAACTTCCATGGACTACCTGGACGTCTCTGAGATGGTTGCAGTTCTATCTTTGTTAACTTTTTGTATCATTTTTGCTACAGTATTGTGACTGATAAGTAAAGTTTTGCTGATCTTCTTGTTGCCTTCACCTTTCTTGTCAATAAATTTTCTGTCTCAGGCCTTGTGACACTTCTCTTCCATGTGGTGCCATTGCTGACAGCATGATATAGAAGGGGTTTTCTTTAAGTAACTCCCTTTTATAATAAACTGTCTGCTAGACACCTGTTTAATGAATAATTCGATTCACCTGTAGTTGAATTCTTGTTAATTAGGATTTTATTATCTTAAATTTAGCTTTGCTCCTAAGACTTTCATTGGGGTGTATTAATTTTTGCAACATGGTTTTGAATGAATTTGTTAGAAAAAATACTTTTTTTTTGTGTGCAAATTAACAAATCGTGTTTGCAATCAATGGCTTGCATTTGTGTGAGTATTTTGTAATATGGTGTCCATAAAAAAATGTGATTCTAAAAGTAAAGGGTTTCTGACATCTGTTGGAGTGTACTCATTTATGCTAAGCACTGTAGGTGATATTGTGGCCTAGAACGTCCTTCCTACTGAAGGTAGTTTTTTACTTTTCACCTCAATCAAGACATTGCATTCCTCTGTCTAGCTCAGTGGTGGGAAACCTTTTTTTTCAACTGAGCCAAATCTCGCCAAAACCACGATTGAAATGTATTTTGAGAGCCACATTTTTAAAACTGAAAATACATCTCCCATATAGTAATTCATCCCCCATAGTAATTCATCCCCCATAGAGTAATTCATCCCCCATAGAGTAATTCATCCCCCATAGAGTAATTCATCCCCCATATAGTAAATTCATCCCCCATATAGCAATTCATCCCCCATATAGCAATTCATCCCCCATATAGCAATTCATCCCCCATATAGCAATTCATCCCCCATATAGCAATTCATCCCCCATATAGCAATTCATCCCCCATAGTAATTCATCCCCCATAGTAATTCATCCCCCATAGTAATTCATCCCCCATATAGTAATTCATCCCCCATATAGTAATTCATCCCCCATATAGTAATTCATCCCCCCCATAGTAATTCATCCCCCATATAGTAATTCATCCCCCATATAGTAATTCATCCCCCATATAGTAATTCATCCCCCATAGTAATTCATCCCCCATATAGTAAGTCCCCCCCCCCCCCCATATAGTAAGTCCCCCCCCCATATAGTAAGTCCCCCCCCCCCCCCCCCATATAGTAATTCATCCCCCATATAGTAAGTCCCCCCTGTGTCAATTCACTTACCTTTGCTCCGCGCGTTCCTCTCGCCGTGCTTCCCGCGCCCTTCTGGTCTTCAGGGCGGACTGTGAGAGGAGTTCGTCACGCTGCCCCGCCTACACCCTGGCTGCCCCGCCTACATCCTGACAGCTGCAGAGTCCCGACTTTTGGGGCGGCCGCCCGAGAGGAGGGAGGGGAGCGGGCGGGCGGCCGTCCGAGAGGAGGGAGGGGAGGTGAGGGGGCGGCCGCCCGGCACACGCCCATCCGAGAGGAGGGAGGGGAGGCAGAGGAGGGAGGGGAGGGAGGGAGGGAGGGGAGCGGGCGCCCGGCACACAGAAGAGCCGCATTTAAGCTTGTAAAGAGCCGCATGTGGCTCGCGAGCCGCGGCTTGCCGACCACTGGTCTAGCTGAATTCAGTTCATCAAAAGGAGTTTTCCCTTCATTGCCTAAATAAAGTATGAGCTGCGAGTATATTATCGTCATTCTTGATGGTTTGCATAAGGGGACATCATTTTCTTGTTGCACTATCTCCTAGGTTGCTCAGTCAGAACCTCATTCAAAGACTGAAAAAATATAAGTGAGCACTTCTGAAAGAAAGCTGCTAGCACCAAAAAGGTAACACACCAACTTTATAAAATAGTACAGAGGAAAGAAAAAGGCAGCGCTAAATCATACTAAAAAAAATTACCTTATACAGTTGCAAGAAAAAGTATGTGAACCCCTTGGGATTACGTGGAGTTTTGCATGAATTGGGAATAAAATGTGAATCGCTCTCTTAAGGTCATGCCACAGCATTTCAATCGGGTTGAGGTCAGGACTCTGACTGGGCCACTCCAGAAGGCGTATTCTGTGCTGTTGCAGCCATTGTTTTGTTGAATTGCTTGTATGCTTTGGGCCATTGTCCTGTTGCATCACCCATCCTCTGCGGAGCTTCAGTTGGCGGACAGATGGTCGTACGTTTTCCTGCAAAATGTCTTGATAAACTCTGGAATTCATTTTCCCATCAATGACAACAATCCATCCAGGCCCTGAGACAGCAAAGCAGCCCCAAACCATGATGCTCCCTCCACCATGTTTTACAGTGGGGATGAGGTTTTGATGTTGGTGTGCTGTGCCTTTTTTTCTCCACACATAGTGTTGTGTGTTCTTCCCAAACAACTCAATCTTGGTTTCATCTGTCCACAGTATATTTTGCCAGTAGTGCTGTGGAACATCCAGGTGCTCTTTTGCAAACTTCAAACGTGCTGCAATATTCTTTTTGGACAGCAATGGCTTCCTCCGTGGTGTCCTCCCATGTACTCCATTCTTGTTTAATGTTTTCCTTATTGTAGATGTGTCAACAAAAATGTTAGCATGCGCCAGAGATTTCTGTAGGTCTTTAGCTGACACTCTGGGATTCTTCTTTACCTCATGCAGCATTCTGCGCTGTGCTCTTGCAGTCATTTTTACAGGACGACCACGCCTAGGGAGAGTAGCAACAGTGCTAAACTTTCTCCATTTGTAGACAGTCTGTCTTACCGTGGACACATGAACATCAAGGCTTTTGGAGATACTTTTGTAACCCTTTCCAGCTTCATGCAAGTCAACAATTCTTGATCGTAGGTCTTCTGAGAGCTCTTTTCTGTGAGGCATGGTTCACATCAGACAGTGCTTCTTGAAACCAGTAAACCCAAAACAGGTGTGTGTTTTTTAAGGACAGGACAGCTGTCAGCAACACATCCAATATCATCACACTGATTGGAGTCAAGGTTGGCTCACTCCTGGCTCCAATTAGCTCTGGGAGAAGTCATTAAGCTAGGGCCTCACATACTTTTTCCTCCCTGCACTGTGAATATTTACATGTTATGTGCAATTAAACCATGGCAACATCTAATGTTTGTGTAGTATTATGTTCAGCAGACTGTGTTCTTCTATTGTTGTGACTTAGATGACGTTCAGAGCCCATTTTATGCCCAATTCATGCAAAACTCCACGTAATCCCAAGGGGTTCACATACTTTTTCTTGCAACTGTACATGAAAAATGATCAATATATGATATATGTGCAAAGGAAATCACTCCTGATTCTCAATTCCCAAATGAAATATCAAGCCATACATCACATATGGACTGATACTACAAATAATAATTAAACGGTGGTTACAAATAGTCCAATCAATGAAGTGTATATCGAAATTTATATAGCGTCCAAAACAGTGCAAAGTGAGAGGACAAAAAAATCTTCACAGTGTCACCAACAGTGTGCATTCCTCCACCCATATGCACTCACCAGATGGCTAGTGTGCATTCATCCACCCATATGCACTCACCAGATGGCTAGAGTACAAGTACATGCATCATAGCCAGCCTAGTAGTTCCAGCTTTCCAATCCCTGGTCACCTATTCGCAAGTCCTAGATGGAAAGGACCTCACACCACAAAGTTCAAAGGCATATAGTGTAGTATATTTCAATAAAACCTCTATTACACAAAGCTAAAAACTACCATGTGGATGCATCAAACAATCTGTTTGGACTTAGAGATGGCTGCTGCTCCGAATTCTGGAACCGGCGCTATGACGTCAGCATGTAAGGCCCCTCTCAACGCATTTCGTGCGCGTGCATGTCCTCAGGGGCGGCCATCTCTGTAAGTCCGGACGGATTGTTTATTTGATGCGCATCCATGTGGTGGTTTTTAGCTTTGTGCAATAGATGTTTTAACAAAATATACTACGCTATATGCCTTTGTCTGGGCTCAGTGGTGTGAGCTCCTTTCTATCTAGGACTTCTGAATAGGTGACCAGGGATGAGAACCTCATTCAAGCCTAGGTTTTCAAAAATGAGTTCCTGCCTTTCCTATCCAGATTTGCTTCTTGTCCAGAGTGCATTTTGGACACTTTTGCATCAGGCTACTGTCTCAGATTTGCAAGGCTGCTATGTGGCCTGTCTTTTTAACTTCTTTTCGCATGTTCTCTAGCTTCTGCCAGGTAAATGTTCAGGTCACAACTGATGCTATCTTCGGGCAGAAGGTCCTTCACATAACTCCATTGAGCTTCAGGCAGTTCAGAGCTCTGTTTCAGTCTTGTTACTGTTTGCTATGTTGTCTATTCCTCTTTTTGTACATGCTCAAGGTTGGTAATGCTTTGCTACAAAACTGAGGTGTTGCTGCAGTTACGGTAGAATGGCCTATATAAAATGTTTGTGTCCAAGCCTTCTGTAGGCGATAGCATAGCTTGAAGTTTTCGACTACCGGTCTGTGGATTCCAAGACAAGGATTTTACTATGCATTAAAACCCTGTTTTCGTTAGTAGCTAAAGAATGCTTGAGGTGATTGTAGCCATATTTGTGCACTTGCAACAATTGCCAAAATTCAGGACAATCTTTTGAGTGTGTCCCCTTCTTCAAGGTCCAAGCAGTGCTAATACACAAAGTTTTAGGAGAATTTTGAGTATGGAAATCTCTGAATGTTAGTGCAAAGAAAATTTATTGCAAACGGTACTCAGTTGTAGCTGAAAGAGATTACTTCGTCAACCCTTCTGTATAGATGCTGAAACTGTTGTATTTTTTATTTATTTACCTATGTATTTTTTACTAGTAGAAACGTATGGCATGTGTGGTTTTCAAATAGAATTTAATTTTTTTTTTTCTGTATTCTAGCTTCCCCTTTAAATGTTTCTAATGAATTTGTGTTTTGTTTTTGTTCAACAGAGGATGGATTTGGGTGAGTGCACCAAGATTCACGATTTGGCACTGCGAGCCGACTATGAGATTGCAAGCAAGGAGAAAGATCTGTTTTTTGAGCTTGATGTGAGTTTTTTCCCTTTATTTTGTACCTTATTGCACCAATGCTTGTCATTTTACGAGATACTGCAGGGATACTGGTTTACTAAAGGAATACAGTGCTCACATTGCAAAGTGAATATTCACGAGCTTCGTAAATAAGGCAAAGCTGGTTCCACTCAGTCAACCAATGTCCTAACAAAATTCACCACACCCACCCACCCACTAGTTGGTGTATTTCAAGTGAATGCAGATTCAATGTTCAACCTTCATTTTGCTATGTCATCACCTCTACTCAATTAGTAAATCAACCCCATTTTTTTACAGCTTCAGTCTATTTTTAAGGAGTACATCCTTTCGTTTCTCTTTTTTTTTTTTAATTTTGTATTGTTTGGCTCAACATGGTTCAAATTTTCCTCATTTTGGTATCTTTTTGTAGAAATGTATAGATTTCCCAAAATCAGATATGGCCATTTGAAGATTATATGGTTTTCAATCTGAGTATACAGAGATAAAGAGAGTGATGAACAGTTATGTACTATCACTTTTCTGCAGTAATGAGTAGGAAACTTGGCTTGTGTTTTAATGAGTCCATATGAGTTTATTATAATTCCATAGAAATATTCAATGATCATTTAAAAAAAAAAAAAAAAAAAAAAAAGAAAAGGATTCATTTCTCAGGTAACACTCACACTATAAAAAAAATCAGTAAAACCTAAATTCCAATTGTTTGCATGTAAAAGACATTAGGCCTTGTTGGCTATCCTAACTTGTTTTGCAGCTGCCATATATGTTTGGTTCAAAATTGTAGCTGACAAATGCCAAAAAGTGTAATTTTTGTGCGTTCACAAGTTCCTTTTTATTTTATTTATAGCTCTTGCTCGTGATGTTGGATTCATTGTGTTTGTTTGCTTACGCACAGTAGCTTATGAACCAGACACCCCTAACAGGCTGATATACCTGTAACAGGATGATGTTGGCTCCATATAGTGCCATTGCAAACACGTGCACTTATACTAAATGTGCATTGCTAACAAAATGACCAGGAGTAAGCTTGCATCATAAAATGATTGTACCTCTGCTGTGAGAAATTGTTCTGCCAGTTGGCGTTCTAAAATGGTCATTTGTGAAGAATGAGGAGAACAGGCAGGTCTCCTCTTATAAGTTCAATGCAGCATTCAGCAGGGGAGGAGATGTGCCATAAGTCATTGCAAAAAATGGTATTTTTTGGCAACACTGGCAGAGAATTTTTTGCAGCTGCAGCAGTTCAACCAGACCATATTCAGCAAATAGGAGATTGCTTTGAAAGTACAGAGTTGCAAGAATGCAGTAGATTGGGGTATTTTCCATGGCTTACATGAGTATCTAGGTGGCAAGTAAATTGTTGCATCCTAACAAGTGAACTAGTACTTGGACCACTATTTATTGTAAGTGGGTGGGGTGTTAACGTAAGAGAAATAAAACCCAACTCATTTTCTAGTTGGGAAAAAAAGTTACCAAAAAGTTTCAATCAAGACCAGGTAAAAAAAAAAAATCTAGTTTCTCAGGGTCTTGAATCATATTGGCTATTACAGTAACCAGAGCTCATTGTTCTGCGGTATTTCCATGCCTCGGTCTCACGTTTTCACTTAAGACAGCTTGTACACGGGAGTGAAAAAGGCCATGTTGTTTTTTTTGTTTTTGCTTTTTCACCAATCTGAACACAGGTGCAGTGTTGTCTATGGAACAATGAACCCAGCTGTGTAAAAGTAATACATCAAGTTCAAAGCCTTAAAATAAATAGAACATTTTACGTTTGAGTGCAGTCATTCACGCACATACGCTTGTATACATGCATATACACACATATATGGCAACACTGGCATCTAGAAGAGGGTGAAGAATTTTACGCATGTATACACATACACATGTTTACATGCCAACAAGATCCTGAGTATAAACATCAGTGAATCATTACGTTCGTGTCCAGGAGGTCTAATTCTATTTTCGCATCGGACACATTACTGCTTTACTACAATTATTTCTTTGAATCAATACCGAATAAGTCAAAATATGAAAATTGCCATGGTTGCAACTCTTCTTGAATCTCTCTGTTTACTGTAGTGATTTTGTTTTAGATTGATTCAGACTGTGGTTGGGATCTGCAGAGTAACGCATCAAAGCTTTTGTCCCCAAACCCATATCTTCAGCCAAAACCTTTTGAAAGAGCAGGGAAAGAAAAGAGCATCTATAAAGTTTTACTGCTTTCAATGACTGTTATGGAGATCTCCTTTCATTATTTGTCCTGATGGCAACGTCATTAAACTAAATGAGGGGAGCACTCCAACACAGACACATTAATAAACATTTAACGGAGATGAAGGCTAGAACCCAAGTCAGCTTTCTTTCATTTCTGTATTCTCGTCTTAGATTTTTCCTCACTGTCAGAGCTAAGTGTCTGTGCTTGGCTTTAGAACAGACAAAGGGATTTTACTATAGGCAATAGGAAGCAGTTCTAAATCTCTTACTCTCTCTCACACACCCCTTTTGTAACATTGTGCAGACTGTGGGGGAGATTTACTAAAACTGGTGCAACTGTGCATGGTAGCCAATTGGCTTCTAACTCCAGCTTGTTCAGTTAAGCTTTGACATTAAAACCTGGAAGCTGATTGGCTACCATGCACAGTTGCACCAGACTCTGTGTGCTCCAGTTAGGGTAAATCAACCCCGGTGTGAGATGTGTGTTGTCATCACTAGGCCACCATCTTTCTTCTGGAAGTACATGTTGGTCCTGGCTGATGCCTAAACAAAAATGACTCCAACCTTCTAGGGGGAGGAGGGTAAATTGGCACGTTTTCAGGTTTAGATCTTTGCTCTCTGTGAGAGGTAGTAAATACCTGCACGGATTACATTTACACATAACTGCTTTTGCCTGTTGACCATCACAGCTTCACCAAACTTGTGATTTGCAGAAAAAGCTGATGTCAGTCAGCATCATGCTGAAATATTTGGGGGGTTTTTTTTGTGGTTTTTGGTGAATGATCTATCTTTATTTACATTTGGAATGTAATTCTTTGAAAAATGTAGTTTTACTTTTTGTAATAATGCCCACTATTTTAATGACTATATATTGCAGTGTCAGTTTAATACACAATACTTTATACTGATTATTTTATGACTTCTGTGTCATTAGTGAACAGTTAACAGATGCTGCAAATGCAAAAGGACATTCATATGGCCAGTATACATGTGCACTATTATGTGAGTAAAAGCAGCTTGTATGTAAGTACACTTCCCTTACAGCTATTACTGTTTTATCTATCAGAGGATTGCAGTCACTATCTGGAATTTTGACTGTCACTAATTCTAGAGATGGTAGGGGTAAAAAAAAAATACTAAAAGACAAACCATGCAGTCTGAAGAACATAGGATTTAAGGTATGAAAATGTGCCGTTGACTGCCAAGAAGAAAACGGTAACCCTTAACCCAAGATGTGATTAGTGGAGCATGAATCCTAGTACCTGGAGTACTAAAGTGCCATAGCATTAAAAAAATATGAATTTGTTTCAATTGAATGTTTGTTTATCTGCTGGCTACAAAATGTTACCCATATAGTTGAAATCGGCTAAACTGCTTTAATCTTTTTGGGTGTTTTTTTTTCATATAATTTCAGTATAAACACAATTTTTTTTTTTTTTTTTTTTGAGTTGCTTAGATTTTTAAATCTGACCAATATACATGTCTCCCTTTCTAAACCTGAGATGGCTGCCGAAATGCAGCTTAAAAAATGTCTGTCTATGCCCATCCTGCTTTTAAGATTGTTAGGTTTCAGTGGAAGCCATGCTGTGTATATGCTTGTCCACACCATTGCATCATCATAACTGATTTTGTAAACCATAGGAAGAAAAATTTGTGCATGACTGTGAAGAGCTATCTGTAGCCATTAATATTAAGTTGTGCCATAGCATGGGTAGTTGTTTTTCTGAAATAACTGCTCAGTTATATTAGGTGAGCAGTTTAGGTGCAAAGAGCACTTATGAAGATTTTTTTGTTGTCTTTTAGGCTATGGATCATTTGGAGTCATTTATTGCGGAGTGTGATAGGAGAACTGAACTTGCGAAGAAACGACTTGCTGAAACACAAGAAGAAATAAGTGCAGAAGTTGCTGTAAAGGTATATTAGATTTGTCACGCTTTTATGTATGTTACCTAGTGTGCAGAGAACAAACTTTTATTCTTGTGATAGTATCGCAGTGGTGATCCACTGTATTGTGAATGACACTGTTGGCATTAAAGGATACATCTTGGGGGGGGGGGGGGTCTTCTTCCATCACTAGCTGTCACAATATTTTTTTTTTTGCTGTAAAAAACTGTGGCTGTGCGGGGCTCCGCCCACGTCACCCCTTCACAGTGTTCGGTGAATGAGAAACTGCAAGTCCGATGACAGCCTTATCAGCTGTCGGGTTGTTGTAGTTCTGCGTGAACTATCACGACACTGTGAGCTCTGTGGTAGTTCATGGATTCTTCCTGTCAGTAAGTATCACCTTGCCTGTACAAGGTACAAGCAAGCAGATACACTGACAGGTCTGCAGGAGACCTGCATGGCATCGGCAATCTGCTGATCGCTGGTACAGTGCAATGCTTTACTGGTTCCTACAACAAAAAATTTTGACATGCACAATTTTTTTTTCTCTTAACCTTAAAAAAAAATGCATTTATTTTTTGCTCTAAGGTGAACGTGTCCTTTTAATAAAACGCCAGTTGTGGTGTTGGATTCACTAGCTAGTAAGCCATGAACCAAAGACACAAAAATGCAATCGATGAATTCTTAGTCTGAACTTTCTACCCTGTTCATGTCAGTGACCCTCTAACTAGTGCATTTAGGCTAAGAATGGGTGTTGGAGCATGTTGCACCCTTTATACGGGTGTAATGTGTAACATGCTCCAATAGTTGACCTTAGTTTTTTAAATAGCTTTTGTGCCAAGCTAGTTTCCCATTTTACAGCTTGACAAGTCAAAAAAAGTGTGGTTTAGGGAGAGAGGTTTAAGATGTATCTCTTCTGTAAATGTTTTTACTTTTATTCCTTTCACTTCCCTGCAAGTCCTCGGTATAACCTTGTGCACGTGGAACCAGATCACAAATCTGATTAGATGGACTATCCTGTGATTCCTGAAGCTGGTTTGTCTGTTCTGGAATGTTTTCTGGAGTTTCTTGTTTGGGAATCGCTCTGTGTTTTAGCGTTGTAGACCTTTGTTCAGCTGAACAATTGAGGGCAAGCTGCCATTTGTGGGAGCGAAGGCCATGCCGTCTTCTGGAGCACCATCAGATTGTATCTCATCTGCCTTTTTTCATATGCATTGTGAAGTTGAGGTAAGGGTGAGAGATCAGGGAAGGGGCTGCTTACATTTGTTAGACAAAGTGATATCTATACATTTTGCATTGCTGGCCCTTAATTTGGTCTCAATTTGGACTTGACATCTGAAATGTCAGCTCACAAGGAAATAGTGGCAGAGGGTGGTGCCTCCTATTTATTATTTCAGGTATTTATAAAGCGCCAATAACTAAGCCCCCCACATGAAAACTATACTAATTTTTTTTTTTTATATTGTAAAAAAACAGTTTGATGCAAGAAATGATTTATCTTTGCAAAGTGTAATTGTAAAATGTTGAAACCAAGAATTTGGAACTCCCTGGGTCCACCTAATTACTGTGCTCTCCACCCACTTTTTGAACAGCTGCAGAAATGTATTAAATATACCGGTCTTTCCCTCTGCTTCCAACTGCATCGACTAGGTAAGAGCAATGTCATTCCTATTCTGGCAATGCTAATAGCACAAGAAAAATGCTCCTGAGCTGTATTTGAGCATGGCCTATGTTGCTCTGCTTTCTCTGGGATCTCCTTGGAAGGGGTGTAGTGTGACGTGTCCCCCCCCCCCCCCCCCCCCCCCCCCCCCCCCCCCCCCCCCCCCCCCCCCCCCCCCCCCCAGTACAAGGAGCTGGGCAAGTATAAACTATTTTTTTTTTCTACTACAGGTTTTTAACTTTTCTTTTTTGCTGCATTTGGAATGGGAAGGGGGCAAAGTAAATAAGCTTACCTTTCCTGTAGAGCAAGTTCCACTTGAAGATTTATTAGGACAGCATTCTATAATGTCTCAGATTTTGAGATCTATGTTAGAAAAAGTTACTCTGCAGGTAAAACTGAAAGTGTTAATAAACCCACAACAGTAAAATCAAGCTGCATACGCAATAAGCATGCTTGTTATACTCACTGTGGAACCAAGGGGTTAATTCTCCGCATTATGTAAAAATCCTGTCTTCTCTGATCCTCCCCTTCCACAGTCCCCAACCCATCTCCTGATAAAACAGCCTTAGGGCAAGCTGTGCATGCACAGCTTGGTGTGTATTGCTAGAGTTTTTTTTGTTTGTTTGTTTTTTGTTTTTTTTTTCTTGGGAGAGTGCATGTGATTGGGCACAGCGCCAATCTGCACTGTCCAGACAGAGGTAAAGGGGTTATGCCGCCTCATAGAGTAATCAGGGGAGAACTCCTCCTACAAGCTTTAACCAGTGCTCTACTGGACACTGAAAGAAGTGACAAGACTGCTATAACTGCAGATGAGAAAATGTATTTAGCCGTTTATATTTACTACACTAATTGGATTTCCATGTTCTGTGTACTGTGGGAGATCAGATATAGTGAATGAAGGGTCCTCGGTTTAGTAACACTTGAACTCCGGTACAAATCTTTTTGTCAGTTTCTTTGTAAAAATAAATTTTCTACAGCCAATATTGTCTCTTATCTCACTGCTGCTGCATGCAATTAAACTTTGCCATGAATCTAGCACTTAACTGTAAACGCCAGACATGGTCACCGCTCTAGTACAGTTCTCCTAGCAGATCACTCACTCTAAACCTCAACCGTTTATTTAATGTCTTGTATTTTGACTATGAATGGAGGAGTTGGAAATAATCACATTTATTTGCCCCTATCATTGTCCATTCACAGAATGCTTTGTATACTGTAAAAGAAAGCAAGACTGTTTATGAATGGCTGAGGTGGAGACCAAGTCACCTTGTTCATAAAGCTCTGTACTCCACTTACATCTTAGAAAGCTGCATATTCAGCTGCCTCTGCAATAATTCATAGTGTGAACAAACCCTATTCATTAGGTATACTAATGTGCTTAGATTAAAAGATCCCTATCTTCAGAGCACCATGATGACTCATTCTTATACTTGAAGCACTTTCACCAAAGTTGCAACAATTCAGAATCCTGGTGTGACTGGTCTGAGGATCGGTTTTCTTTGTTGTCTAGAGGGAAGTCATATGACCATTAGTTTCCACAGCTGAGTTTACTGCTGGATGTTACTTTAGTATCCACAGAAGGTTTTTTCTTTTCTTGATTAGGAACTAGTCGTTTGAATAGCACATTAGGAAGTTCAACAGATTTTCAGACACTTTCTACAGATTCTTAACTGTCATCCTTAAGATATAGGGTTGCACAAAATTTTTAAGCACTTGTAAAGAAAAAATAAAAGGATAAAGCAGTTAAATTAAAGACTACCTTGAATAGTTCTTATTTGTTGTGTAACTTCTAGAAAGCAAACAGGAAAAGAAGTAAATTAAAATCAATATTTAGTTTGACCAACCTTTGCTTAGAGTGCAATGTATGTGTGTCACCCTATTTTATCATGAGAATATATATTAAAAAATCAAAGTTATAATGGTGGGTTCTCAGGTGTTAATTGTATCGATTTAAAGCTGATCTCCAGGATCAACAGAGCTAACAATCTGCCCTGCTACTACCTTCATTTCAACTGTGCTAAGGGTGTGTTCAAAGCTCCAGGACATAAGAGAAGCGCCAATATAAAGCAATATGCCAGGCATGTGCACAGCAGCACAAAGTAAAGAAAACAAACCATATGTGGGTCATTGCGGTATGTATGGTACGTGCCCATTGGCAGTGACCACTGTCTTCAATGTTCCCAAAACACATTCTGTGTAATTACACCTACCCGCTTTTCCAAACAGCTTTTCTATTGTGAGGCACTAGTGTGACTTGAAGTCTTATGACCCCAAAAGCTTTGGCAACACTTCTTTTTTTTTAAAGCCCCTGGTCCACACTAAACCTGTACTGCTATTCCCCTCGACCTATCAGGAGGTTGTGCATATTAAAGATTTATCTTTATTTTACAATTCTGTTTCCAGTGTGACAAAGTATATGTATTACTTTGTCCAGTAACTTTCTAACCCTAGCAAGCTTCCTGCCTCCTCCACTGTCATGGCTGATCCAGCAACAGCTTTAAGGAGACTATCGATGCAAAGCTTGTTTTTGGCTGGACATGCTTTCTGGAAACAGGGCCAGAACTGCAGAAACTGAGATACGATTCCCCCCTTCCTATGCGTTCCTCCTGCCTTTTCTCTGGAAAGTGTTTAGAGTTGAGACAAGCTGCAGGTAGGAATCTACACTTTCCGTAAAAAAAAAAACGTTGTCCAGTTGGCCACGGCAGGAGGGGTGGAAGGGACAGGCCAGTGATCATACCTAGGGTTAGAAAGCACTTAGAAACCTGGGACAAAATACTACATATTCTTTGGACAGAACTGTCCGCCCTATAGCAGATTTACTGCGGTGGGGATGGGGTGTTGCGCTGCGCTTCCTGCCTGGCATGGTCATGAAGGGGGGGCGTCAGTCAGTCTTCCAGAGGTCAAGCGGTTAAAGCAGGATTCCAGCTAAGTCTTGCTTGTCGTAACAATGCTTCCTCTCCTCACACCTATACTAACTTGCTTGTGGTAGGCAAGTATACTTTTTTTTTTTTCATATTTTCAGTCCACCCCAATCTGGTCATGCGATTCCTTCAGTTTTCCTTCAGTGGCAGCTGCAGGGAAATGGAGAGAGCAACTAGAAACAGCTGGGAAAGCAGGGACTGATGACCTTTCCCATGGTTCAGCTGTTGTCGGCAGTCCCTCCTCTCCTCTGTAGCCACTGCTGGCTGTCACGGGAACCGGATCACTTGACCAGAGTGGGTTGACAATTTACAAGGAGTCTTCAAAAAGTTTCTGCACTTTTTTTTAGTTAAAAAAAAAAAAAAAAAAAATGTGTGTGTCTTTACACAGGTCAGTTAGTATAGGAATTAGGAGCAGGGAAAGCTAGTTAGGCTTTAGCTGGATTTCTACTTGAAATCTATATGGAGGAACCTTGCGGTTGCAGATTATTTTATTTTTGACCTACGTACCTCTCCGATTTATTTTCATAATGGACAGTATGTGGACATTTGGTATGGGCCCAGATGAAGAAACTTTTGCTGCTATAACAGCGTTTGTGTTGGACATACCAAAAGAGCAAGTTCAAAACAGTCTGCCTAGTGCACGTAGAGGGCTGTAAGAGGGCTTTTTGGCTAAAGAGGCAAAAAATGGTCTGTGGGGAACAGGCTGTGAGCCTGACAAGGGAGTCTGAGAATAACTAGTCCACGTGGGACTGGCATGGTTTGTCTAGCTGAGAGCAGACAGAACCAGAACTCTGAAAACTTTGTTGTACAGTATGAATAATTTGAAATAAAGTACCGTCTCTACAGTTTGGAAAGGTGCAGTATTTGTACATGTACCAATATATCCTGGTCTAACTTTGTATACGGGTGTAAAGAATGGCATCCTATCTTACCTTGAGATAGAAGTGCTGGTATGCAGGAATTTTTTTTTTTTTTTTTCCCTGCTGGTTGAATGAAAAAAAACATTGTATATACCCAGCTTTACTTTCTTGCCAGGATCTCTGGTATTTTCAGCTCTGGTTTGGAAGCTGTATCCTCTTTTGCATACCATTGTTTTGCAATGCTTCCCACTGCTGTATTTAAAGCTGAACTCTGGGTAGAAATATTGTTTTAATGATGCTTTCTTCCTTTGAACAAATGTGGTGTTGAGTGCTTTAATAGGTATAATCATGAAATAGATTTTTGCTTTCATGGCAAAATGAATACCAAAATATTTGTCTAATACAAAATGTAATGTAATGGATGTAAACACATTTATAAAACGTACATTACAAACTGAGGCCAGAGACATGGAGGAGTCAAATAAGATAACCAACTTTCAATACAATTCCTGATGTGTGAGGCCTAGATTTTTAGCGACAAAAAGAAATGAGAATTACTCACGCTCGGAGACCCTAAAAATCATTTACGAATTCTCAGCTGTGATTATTTTAACCCTGTCACTGATTATTAATCCTGCGATGCATCTGACTCCTGTGGCACCCCTAGGGACAAGCAGAGGTAAAGCTCAACTCCTATCCTGTATCTTGAGTTTGCACTTGAGGATGCTCTTCCCAGACTCTATTATTGCTGACAAACTGTAATTCAAAATGTTTTTTTTCTTGTAATTCTGGATTTTCTTCGATTGTTGAAAATGTTTGAAAATGTGTAATTCTGTGGAGCAGGAGGCTTTTTGTCTACTCAAACATCACATCCGTGCAGGGAAACAGAACTACATTTCCCATAACTCTGAGATTCCCAGGTCCTCCTACTACAGCAGATGGTAACATAATTACATCATCACTTGCTGTAACAGAACTACAGCAGACCAGACCAGTGGCCAGGAGGACAGAGGGCCAGTCTATCAAAGATGAGCAGGTGAAAACTGGTTTAGTTTGCACTCGTTTGCAAATACATGCTGCAGAGCCTCTTCACGACAGCCCAGTATTCTGCAGTTCCTAGCTCTATAAATTGTATAATAAAGGATAGATTAAGGGCAGGTAAGCCTGGAGGGAGCCCACCCCTTCTTAAAGGCACAGGAACGCACTGGACACCCAGCATGTAGCACAATGGCAGCAAAGGTGTCCCATGCGCCCCCTCACCATAATATCAACAATGCAAAACAACTGCTTGCTTGAAGACTGGTTGGTAAGTTGAGCTGGGAATCTTTCTTTGTTGTTTGACATGCACTGCCCTTCCATGTGCTCCTTGCTTTAAAGGCCAGTTACAAGTTGGGGCAGTTGCTGTTTGTATAGATGTGCAGGTGAATTAGGCCTGCAGATGTGGAGATGAAATGTATCTGTGTATAGAGCTTGAAATATAGATTGATTCCAGGCACTTGTGTGCTCTACTAGTGGCAAGGACGTAGGTTTAACTATGCACTGTTCCTGTCCTCTGCCATGCAAGAGTTTTTAGGCAGACCCTTTTACAATATAGTTTCCAATACATAAGACAGCTTGTGAGATTGGACCTCATTATTTAGGGGTCTATCTATAAAGTGGTAAATGTGATATTAACCAAACATTCTCTGGTGGTGAATTAGAGGGCAGCAAAGACTGCTGCATGTCTGAACCTAGTCTAACTGGGCAGGAAAAGCAGCCTACTTAACTTTAAATTTGACAGGCGATAAGGTGGTTATATGTAAATGCAGTACCGCATGCATACCACTGAATGTGGTATTATGATTGTGATACTGCATTTACCAGTGTAATATCTGTTTTTTTATTTGATGGTAATTAATGAAAAAACTTTTGTTATAGAGGTTGTATTTTATTGGTCAACTATTTATTTTTTTGTGTTTTCTTTCCAGGCAGAAAAAGTTCATGAATTGAATGAAGAGATTGGAAAGCTGTTGGCCAAAGCTGAACAGCTGGGAGCTGAAGGGAATGTTGAAGACTCCCAAAGAATTCTGTTGGAAATGGAGAGAGTAAAGGCTAGGAAAAGGGAGGCTGAGGTTGGTGGTTGTGCTAAATAATCTTTTTTTATAAATGTGTACATAACTTCATAGTTGGCTGTTCGAAATAGGATCAATTTCAGTTAGCTTCTCTTGGCCTCCAGGAGTTTTTGGTATTTTTCAGTAGTAGTCTTGTTCACAACTCCCCACATTTTCTCCTTTACAGATGTGCATTGATGAGGCTGCACTGATAGGCCCGTACTTTTTTTTTTTTATTTATTTTTCTTCACTTTTTTAATTCCCTTTTTCTTTTCTTTTTTTCTCTAGATTCACACATGCTCCATTGTTCTTCAATAACTTGGCTCACTGTCATTATAGCTACTTAAAAAAAAAAAAAAAAAATCTAGATGCATATTGCGTACATTAAAGCAGTAGTAAACCACAGAAAATGGGGAAAAAAAGAGTCCCCTGCAAGGTAATGTCATGATGTGCTAGTATGCATTGCATACTAGCGCATTATGTAAAATGTACCTGAAAACGAAGCCCTCCAGCGGCACCACCGCTGTAGAGGCTTCCATCTTCACCCATCTTCCTTTCAGGTTTGTGAGCTCCAGCTGACTGACAGGCCAGCCCGCATGCGCGCGGGAGTCCCAGGCCATGGCACACAGCTCAAAAGGAATTGTACGTAAATGCCATTCCTTCTAAGCGCATGCACCGGCTTAAAAAAACAATATCTCCTTAACCACTTCAAGTCCGGACACTTTCACCCCCCTTCCTGTCCAGGCCAATTTTCAGCTTGTGCACCTGCCCACATTCACTTCAGTTCCTTGGCATGTACCACCTACCTAAACATTCTTGCTGACCAAGTAAACCCCCTTCATAGAAGCTGTGTTCCCTGATGGCAGTGGCCTCTTTCAGAAGGATAATACACTCTGCCACACTGCAAAAATGGTTCAAGAATGGTTTGAGGAACACAACGTTTGTGTGTGTGTGTGTGTGTGTGTGTGTGTGTGTGTGTGTGTGTGTGTGGGCATCCAATGAAAAAAATAAAAATGCAATTTAATAAACACTTTCATTCATTATTACTTTCAGCCATTAAATAACCAGCGCTGTTGGTGATCGCTGTGTTCTACGGACACAGCTGATCACGTGATTAAGTAAAAGGCCAATCACCGCAGCCTTTTACTACGTGATCAGCTATGGCCAATGACCATAAATACAGTTGCCGGTTTTCAGCATCACTTTCCTCAGTCACAGCGTGAGGAAAGTACTGCCGATAACCAGCAAATGTGATGGGAGATCTGCACTGATTATCAGTTCCGCTCAGCAATGCCCATCATATCAGTGCATCATCAGTGCCTATCAGTGTAGCTTCATCAATGCACATCAGTGAAGGAGAACAATGTACCTGCTTGCAAAATGTAATAATGGAAACAAAGTAAATGCGTTTAACCACATTTATGCGCGTTTGCGTTTAGACGCGTTTTTTGGCTGGCTCATATCCAGGGCACAATTCACTAAGCGGTATCTTATTGCATCCGAGTATGCGGTAGCATACCTTATAGCATTTTTTAAAAAAAAAACATTTGAATCCACTAAAAAAGGCTACTAAAATACTGCATGAGTTATTTTATCAAGTCATGAGGTATTTTAGTAGTAAAAAGCATGCGTTGATGTTTCAGCTGTCAGCGGGATTCCCCACTAACAGCTGAATGTAAAAGAATTGCCTGCAATTAAAAAAAACGGCGTGGGCCGCCCATCCGCACCAAGCCCTTCAGGTCTGATATGTATATTGAGGGGAAGCCGCACACCAAAATGTTAAAAAAAAAAAAAAAAAAAAAATACAGTTAAAATTTAAATTTTAAAAAATGACCCTTATCCAAGCATGCAGCCCAGTAGCTCAAGAAAGGGAGGGGGAGAGGGCGAGGCCCCCCTCCTCCTGAACCATTCCAGGCCACATGCCCTCAACATGGGGGGGTGCTTTTTGGTAGGGGGAACTCCCCCTCCCCCCCATAGCACCTTGTCCCCATTTTGGGGACAAGGGTCTCAACCCCCCCCCCCCCCCCCCCAACTCCCAGATCCCGGCCCCCCATATGAATGAGTATGGGGGACATGGTACCACTACCCATTCACAAAAAAAAGCTGTAGTGTGAAAACAGACGGGAGACATTCTTTGACAAGTCCTTCATTAAAAGGAAATCTCCCAAAGTAGATCAAGCGTCAATCACGATGCCCGCCACCACCGCTCCGGGAGAAAAAAATAAAAAGGCTCTGCTCCTGACGCTGGCTTCCTGCTGTCTGCCTCTCCGATGGGTTGACCGTTCTTAATTATGTAAGAGGCAGAGCTCACCCAGTGACATCACCCGTGTTGCCCTGCCCTCGTGTGACATCGACCGGGGCATGCTGGGAAATGTCACGTGGCGGGGTCACATAGCTGATGGCCCTGCCCTTTACATATTTAAGGACTGTCAAGCCAGCGTAGAGGCAGATGGCCTGGAGCCAGCGTCGGGAGTTCCCCCTACCCCAAAGCACCTCCCCCCCCAATGTTGAAGGCAAGTGGCCTGGTATGGTTCAGTTGGAGGGGGGACCCCCACGGCATTTTTTTTTTTTTTTTTTTTTTTTTTTTTTTTTTTTTTTTTAATTTTGGCGTGAGGTTTCCTCTTAATATCCGTATCAGACCTGAAGGGCTTGGTATGGAGGGGGGGGACCCCAAGCCGTTTTTTTAATTGCCAGCAAGTCTTTCTTTTACATTCAGCTGTTAGTGGGGAATCACCTCTGACAGCTGAAGCATCAACGCATGCTTTTCACTACTAAAATACCGCATGATTTGATAAAATAACTCATATGGTATTTTAGTAGCCTTTTTTTTAGTGAAATTACTATTTTTCGGCGCATTCTGGGCATTTGGGAGGGTCTCCTGAGGTTATCTTTTAACCATTTCAATACCGTGCAATTTTACACCTTCCTGCCCAGGCCATTTTTCAGGTTTCAGCGCTCTCGCATTTTGAATGACAATTGCGCGGTCATACAACACTGTACCCAAACTAAAATGTTATCATTTTCTTCACACAACTAGAGCTTTCTTTTGGTGGTATTTTAATCACCGCTGGGGTTTTTATTTTTTGCTAAATTAACAAAAAAAAGACCAAAAATTTTGAAAAAAAAAAAAAAACATTTTTCTTTGTTTCTGTTTTATAAAAGTTTACAAATAAATGTTATTCATAAATTTAGGCCGAGATGTATTCTGCTACATGTCTTTGGTGAAAATAACCCAAATTAGGATGTATTATTTAGTTTGTATTAAAGTTATAGAGTTCACAAACTATGGTATAGATCTGAATATTGATCAGTCCTGAAGTACTGACAGCCAGTCTAATTTCTTGAGGTCCAAGAATGTCAGAATAGTACAGATATCCCCAAATGACCCCTTTTTGCAGAGTAGACAGTCAGACGTACTTCATAAGAGGCATGGCGAGTTTTTTGAAGTTGTATTTTTTTGTTATAATTTTTCGGAAAATTAAAAAATTAAAAAAATTATTTTCACTATTTTTTTTTTTTTACATACTGTCATCAGTGCAGTACAGCGTCATCATATAACTGGCATGGCGGTGAACAGGGACACTGAATGGTGACAGTATGAAAAATATATATATATATATATATATATATATATATATTTTTTTTTTTTTTTTTTTTTTTTTTTTTTTTTTATTTTTTATTACATTTTTTTTTAATTTTAATTTTTGTTAAGATTTTTTTTCATATTTTACTATGACCAAAGTAGCATTGTACTACTTTGGGGAAGTGATCAGTAATTTTTTTTTTTTTTTTTTTACACAATTTGCTTATAGCAAAGAATTACTTTGCTATAAGCAAGCATTTACCTGAATGAAATCGACTCATTCAGCTTTTTTTTTTTTTTTTTTTTTTTTTTTTTTTTTTTTTTTTGTGCTTAGCTGTGATTTGGTCACAGCTAATCACATGACATGTGCATGTGATTAGCTGTAACCATTCACAGCTAGGCACTAGTATACAATGGATGGCATGAATGAAGCCATCCATTGTATACAACTGTCATGTGACCTGCTGTGATTGGTCACAGCAGGTCACATGGTACCAGCAACGGGAGCCGGTACTCGGATCTGTCATCGGCCGCGTCCGAGGTGCACGGCCGGTGACAGATCGCGCTGCTGCGCGACGCTCTGCATTAGCGCAAACTGCGCATGTGCTGGAGCACGCCAAGTGGCGTGCACCCGCAATGCAAGAACACTTTTGAAGCCGCCAAATGGCCATTGGCCGGCGGCTAATGGTTAAAAATGCTTCTAAACACAAACGCCTGTCTTTTTTGTAAAAACATGACTGAACGGATTATTCCTGTGTGAAAGGGTACATAGAGGTCTGTAAATAAAACACAAAATAGCATTTCACAAACAGCCAATCGTTTTTTCTGTTCCTGTAGTCCATTTAGAGTAAGGTGGGCCAGGAGGGACCAAAATTTGCTTCGTTAAGCATTTACTGCATTCTGTATAGCTTCCTTAAACATTTTGTTTTTATATCATCCCAACTCGGCTTTCCAAAAACAGAGTTAATTTCTCATAATATAGTGGATTGAACTCATTCCTTTTATATACTATTTGAAAATCTTAGCTGTGGATTAAAAATGTATATTTTTAGAATTACTTTACAAAAATGGCTAGTATTTATTTAATGAAATCCATGTTTACTTGGTGTCCAATCTGCATTCAATACTTTTTTTGACTTGAAACCTCAACATTTCTGGTTGGTGTAAAGTGTTAGACATAAAGGACCGTTTAATTTAGATTGGTTTATAAATTTCAATATAATTGGTAAGACTAGCCATAGACTTGAATGCAATTGGGATACCCAGACATGGACCAAATGTCACGTTAGGAGGAGACTTCAGCATGCCTCATACCTGCAAGCTTTAAATAAGAGTAAAGTGAAGATTTCCATTGCTGAGCTGCTTCTTTGATATTCCTGTTTTAGAAGTTTAAATCATTTATATGGAACAGGAATGTTGATAAGAAATTGTCAGTCTTTTTACTAGTGTGCATGCTTTTCCAAGGTCAGTACCTCACGGTATTGAAGCCAGAATGTAAAATTGGTTAACTAAAAGAAAGCAATGGCAACTATTTCTCCTTTTTGATCAGTTCACTTTAAATCACTTTCATTTTCAGGAGGAGATAAACAATTGCAGTTTATTTATTTCAGGTACTTACAGTCATGGCCGAAATTGTTGGCACCCTTGATATTTCTCCAGGAAATCATGTATTTCTCACGAAAACGTATTGCATTAACACATGTTTTGCTATACACATGTTTATTCCCTTTGTGTGTATTGGGACAAAACAAAAAAAGGGAGGAAAGAAAGCAAATTCGACATAATGTACACAAACCTCCAAAAATGGGCTGGACAAAAGTATTGGCACCCTTTCACAACTGCGGATAAATAAGAATGTTACAAGCATGTGATGCTCCTGTAAACTCACCTGGGGCAAGTAACAGGTGTGGGCAATATAGAAATCACACCTGAAAGCAGATAAAAAGGAGAGACGTTCACTTAACCTTTGCATTGTGTGTCTGTCTGTGCCACACTAAGCATGGACAACAGAAAGAGGAGACGAGAACTGTCTGAGGACCTGAGAACCAAAATTGTGGCAAAATATCAACAATCTCAAGGTTACAAGTCCATCTCCAGAGAACTAGATTTGCCTTTGTCCACAGTGCGCAACATTATCAAGAAGTTTGCAACCCATGGCACTGTAGCTAATCTCCCTGGTCGTGGACGGATGAGGAAAATTGATGAAAGATTGCAACGCAGAATAGTCCGGATGGTGGATAAGCAGCCCCAAACATGTTCCAAAGACATTCAAGCTGTCCTGCAGGCTCAGGGAGCATCAGTGTCAGCGCGAACTATCCGTCGACATTTAAATGAAATGAAACGCTATGGCAGGAGACCCAGGAGGACCCACTGCTGACACAGAGACATAAAAAAGCAAGACTACAGTTTGCCAAAATGTACTTGAGTAAGCCAAAAGCCTTCTGGGAAAACGTCTTGTGGACAGATGAGACCAAGATAGAGCTTTTCGGTAAAGCACATCATTCTACTGTTTACCGAAAACGGAATGAGGCCTACAAAGAACAAAACACAGTACCTACGGTAAAATATGGTGGAGGTTCAATGATGTTTTGGGGTTGTTTTGCTGCCTCTGGCACTGGGTGCCTTGACTGTGTGCAAGGCATCATGAAATCTGAGGATTACCAAAGGATTTTGGGTCGCACTGTAGGGCCCAGTGTCAGAAAGCTGGGTTTGCGTCCAAGATCCTGGGTCTTCCAGCAGGACAATGACCCCAAACATACGTCAAAAAGCACTCAGAAATGGATGGCAAAGAAGCGCTGGAGAGTTCTGAAGTGGCCAGCAATGAGCCCAGATCTAAATCCCATTGAACACCTGTGGAGAGATCTTAAAATTGCTGTTGGGAAAAGGTGTCCTTCCAATAAGAGAGACCTGGAGCTGTTTGCAAAGGAAGAGTGGTCCAAAATTCCGGGTGAGAGGTGTCAGAAGCTTATTGATGGTTATAGGAAGCGACTGATTTCAGTTATGTTTTCCAAAGGGTGTGCAACCAAATATTAAGTTAAGGGTGCCAATACTTTTGTCCAGCCCATTTTTGGGGTTTGTGTGACATTATGTCCATATTTGCTTTTCTGCCTCTGTTTTATATTTGTTCCAATACATACAAAGGGAATAAACATGTGTATAGCAAAACATGTGTTAATGCAATACCTTTTTTGTGTGAAATACTTGATTTTCAGGAAAAATATCAAGGGTGCCAACAATTTCGGCCATGACTGTATATAGCGCTGTCAATTTTACGCAGCGCTTTTAAATACTGTATATATTGTACATTCACATCAGTCCCTAACCCTCAAGGGACGTACAATCTAAAGTCTCTCAATTCACATTCATACATACACATACTAGGGCCAATTTAGATAGGAACCAATTAACCTACCAGCATGTCTTTGGAGTGTGGGAGGAAACCGGAGTTCCCAGGGAAACCCACGCAAGCACAGGGAGAACATGCAAACTCTATGCAGGAGGCACCATGGTCGGGAATCAAACCCATGACCCATTTACTGCAAGGCAGACATGCTAGCCACTGTGCCGCCCAGTTCACATGTTTCTGTTAAAGCAGATGTAACCCCTCTGAAAGGCTCAATCTTACTGTTAAGTTTTTTTGGGTTTTTTTTGGATAGGTTTTATATAGATTTTGCAGCCTTTGCCTGTCAAGTGTTGAGTGTGTACATGAAGCTGGCTATAATTTAAAGTGCAAGTTCCCCTTCAGCATGCAACTTTATCTCCTGAAATGGCAGGGCAGAGGAAGTTCAGGGGACTGTTTGAAGCTCTCTTCACAGCTTCGTGTGTGCTCTAAAAGCAGTATGAGGCATTTGCACCATGTTAAATGAGACACCGTAAATAATGGTATAACAAAGGATGAAGTTTGTCTTTTAAATGAAAGCAAACAATAAATAAAAGTAATCCTAGGCTGTTCATTGTAAAATTATATTTTTTTAATAACGTGAATAAAAAACAGTGGAAAGCATTTGTGTATCAAATAAAATCATTTTAAGTCTTTAATATAAAATGTAAAAAGAAAGATTGGTTGCAATTGCAATACTGATTTTACTAAATTTGGTTTCAATTACCCTTGGTTGTGAAAGACTTTGACTGGGTATAATCACTTGTATGATCTTTCTCTGTATATGTAAACTGCTGGATTTCACAAAAGTAAGCTCTGCGCTGTCTGTTCACCTTGTCAGCCTTAATTTATCTATTTTCTTTATATGCAGGATGAATATCGCAATTCAATGCCTGCCTCCAGCTTCCAGCAGCAGAAGCTTCGTGTTTGTGAAGTGTGTTCTGCCTACCTTGGACTGCATGACAATGATCGTCGGCTTGCAGATCACTTTGGTGGGAAGCTTCACCTAGGATTTATACTGATTAGAGAAAAAAACTTGAGCAAATGAGAGTAAGTGTTGGTTCAGATAACTGAAATGTTTGCCTCTGTTGTTTCCTCTCCCGAAGTGTAACAAAGTTAGGTAGTACACAATGTAAAATTAGATTTTTGATGGAAGTTTTCATAATTCATACTTTTAAATCATGTTGGGTCAATGTCCCATTTATAATTTTGGGGCGAGAGGCATTTTGGTTTGTAACAAAACAATGCATGCCCATCTTGACAAAGGAACAATCACTATTGATGCACCGATATATCGGGCTAAAATAGGGTTATCAGCGTTTTGCCAATTTAAAAAAAAAAGTGCTGATATTAGCCAAAAAGATCAGCTAAGCTCACGTGTATTACGACCAGTGCCATGTCGTAATATGCAGCCTCTGCGGGCATCGGATTACTTTCAGTCAAATTTATTTTATGTTACTGGATTGTATTTTTTAAATTCATGATATTAATTAAAAAGTCAAATATAATACTATTCTATATATATATATCTATATATATATCTATATCTATATATATATATATCTATATATATATATCTGTAATAAATATATATATAGATATATATATATACCAGTATATTTTTAAAACTGTCCATTTTAGTTTTCGGCCAAGTGTATCTTGAATTTTCAGTTTCGATCAAGAATTTTATTTTCGGTGCCCCACTAACATTCACGCTATCAAACCAAATCTTTCAGTTGGAAAAAAATTGACTTGGTGTCTTTAATAAACACTGTTAAATTGCAAAGCCAAAGGTTAAAGAAAACAAATTCCCTCCGTCTCACCTATATCTGTCACAATAGTCCACTTTTCAGACAGCCTAGCTGGTTTATGAACTATTGGCAAGTGTCGAGATTAAGGTGTCAGGAATGGAGGGAAAATATTCCAATGGGGACACTAGTTCTGGTGACAGCCTAGGATTTCCTTATTTTGGAGGCATTTCTACCACTTCCTGTTTTCGCTATGGACAGGAAGTGAATGAAAATCTCCAAGGACACAAATGGCAAAGAAAAAGAACTGACAGATTATAACCTTCCCTTACTCCTATCCAAAATTAAAAAGTAAAATAAAGTTTTGCCTTTTTAGTGACGCTTTTGTGGACTACAAGGAGCTGCTGACATCCGTAAACTCACCAATGGTTCATCCGGAGATGTTAACACTTCGATTGGTGGTTGTGTTGTATCAATGTGTTTTGGAATATTAGCATTTAATAAACAATAAATGACATCCAATAATGTGCTAGACATTTAATTGTATACTAGGTGAAAATGGCAATCCCGTAGACAATCAACAGTTTCCAGTCCTTCAATGCCACATTAGACAGGTTCAAGACATTTATTTTCTGTTTTCACAAATTTGTTATATTGGGAGTATTTTATGAGCAAATAAGTTTTCTGACCTGTTACCTATTTTTTTTTTATTTTATGAAAATTATGGTGGCTATAGCTGCTGGTAATCTCATGCTAAAATCTGACAGGCTGGTTGTACCAAAGACGATTGATAGATCGACGGGTACAATTTGCCTGCTTCATAGATGGATTGAATCTCAGCCAGTCCCTGCTGAATAAGACTATACTTGTCTATTGTGAATCCTCCGGTCTGGTCACATGATCTTTTCCCAGCACTGGCTTCAGTGTAGAGGAGAGGCAGCGACAATGGCTGCGGAGCCTAGGAGATGACGTAACCCATAGGCTTACTATGGGGCAGCTATTGTCAGCTGTCACTCCTGTACACTGAAGCCGGTCATGTGACTGGACCAGAGTGGCTTCAGAATAGTTAAAGCGGAACTTCACACTCTCAATCAATATGGACTATTTCTACTTCTTATGTTGCTTTCGTTAGGAAAGTATATCATATTTACTTGTTTGACCTTTTTTTTTTTTTTTTGCATTCCTGCTTTTACTTCCTGGTTTCCATGCCTACCATAGCTAGACAAATGATGTCATACACCCCAGGAGTCTTCAAGACGGGGCGGGGGGGTTCTCAGCTCAGCCAATGCCTGAGCGAAGGGCAGATGAATTCCAGGAAGTAAATGCTACATAAATCATCTGCCCTTACCTTAAGATGGCCGCTGCCAGAAATGCCAGGAGATGTTTTTCAAGATGATTTCTCAGCAAAGTAAAGCACGGAGACACGGATGGATGGGAGAGTTTGTTTTGAATATTAAAAATGCATTTTATAGAATTTTTGGTTTGGGTTGCTCAGATGCAGCTCAGTTCCACATTAAGTATATACTGTACATAACATTTACGGGGTAGATAAAATAATCTTAGAATGGGGGTGGGAGTAGACTTATCCTTCGTTTGAATGGAATTACACTTTAAGTATTAGAGGTAACAGATCATTTAAATTAACCCCTTTTCCTACTGTTTTTTTAAAGGATCACTTTAACTTTTTGTCCATCTTAGGCCTAGTTCACACTGGCATTGAAAGCAGGCATTCGAGGGATGCAAATGATACTATGGGCAGCACACAGTGCTGTTCACATTACGAAAACATGAAGCGCTAGCTTTGCTTCAAAATTGAAGCCTTATGTTGAGTATGGAGGAGTTTGAAGCCTTTCAACACCTCCCATTCAAGGCTATGGTGATGTTCCACAAATGTGCTGGCAGGAGGGTTGCAGCACGTTAATAACATTACAGTTTATTATAGGCATTTGGTGCGGGTTTAACACTTGTAAAATGCCTAAAAATCAAGCATATGGCATTTTGGGGAGCGGTTTTAACGCTTGTAATATGCCAGTCTACCATCCATACTAAAGCTCATTAATGCCTGGCTAACACCCATACTAATGCTGTAGGAGTGTTTGCGTTAGAAATTGTGAACAAGTCCTTAGATTAGTTTATTTAAAACTATAACCTTTTGAGAGCCGCAGTCACTATTCACCTGACATCTACTTCAATCTGGTTGCTTAAGAAAGTGTATGTTTGGATTGTTGCAAATGTGTGAATTATTTGCCCTTCTTAGTAACACTTTTTGTGCAAAGAAATATCTAGGCTGTCATTACCAACCTCTTCTACAGCTGCTAGTTATGTAGCTGTCATGCTAGCTATTTGCAGAAATATTTTGTAATTTACCAGGAACAAATAGCAAGCAGGGGCGGACTGACCATTTAGAAACTCGGGCAATGCCCGAGGGCCCAGGGTCAGTAGGGGGCACCATGAGATGCCCCTGGTACCTTTTTCATAGGCTTTTTTGAGTTTGGGCAAGGACACAGGGGCCCCATGATCCCCTATTGCCCGGGGGCCCCATGAGTTGTCAGTCTGCCCCTGACAGCAAGTCAGATGTTCTGAATTCCCTGGCTGCATGCATGGTCTGGGTGCAGTGACATCTAGAAAACTAGCATTTCATGAAGTCAGCTTTTATATTTCTCACAGTACATACATACTTGCTGTAATAGTAATTGGATGTTGTTGCTTACCAAACCTAATCATGGCTTATAAACTGGTTATAACGTACTATTTTATAGAAGTCCATGAAATTTATTGCATATTTTTTTTTTTTTTACCAAATTTAGAAAGCTGTGGCAAGCAAGCAGGAGAAACGGAACCAGGAACGCTTAAAGAGACGAGAGGAGCGGGAAAGGGAAGAGAGAGGAGGAAAGAGGTTAGTTCAAAACTATTCTTCTGTAATCAGTTTTTATTACAAGTGTTTTATTAGACCAAAACTACAACCAATTAAAATGAAGACTTGAATAGGGCTGTTTAGTTTATCTAGTCACTTCATGATAAAACAGGCAATAAAAATATTAAGCAAAAAAAACATTCTTTGTCCTGGTATATTATTCCTCACTGTTCAGCAATAAATTGTACTGTTGGTCCTTAAATGACCTGCAGAAGATCTGATCCTTATTAACATAGTGGATAGTTTGAATTTCAAAATGGGTCAGGAGATTACAAATGGGTTCCAGTTGTCTTTATATATCCAGTAAGTTGTAAAAAAAAAAAATCACATTTTTTTTTCCTGTGTTATTGTTGCAAAAACGCTACTGGACAAAATAGAATAAGTGAACTTATCAAATCTAAATCCATCTTGTACTGCTCATACTTTTATAGTGAATTCTGGTTTCTGCACCCTTGTTCTCTAGGCACAGCTGAATTTTGTCAGTTAGTATACAAAGTCCCTTTAATTTGAAACAAATGATTTGCTGTGAACAATATACTCTTCAGCCTTTATGGTCTTTCTGTAATGTAATGGCAACTTCAACCTTTATACATCTGCTATAACTTGTTTGTAAGAACTTGAGTTTGATTTTAGTAATCCAAAAATTATTTGCTCTAAAATACAGTAAGGCCACAGTGTTTTAGAACATTGTTTAGGATTTTCCTTTGAGGCCATACAGTGGCTCGAGAAGTCTCTTATAGAAGCTGTAATTGCTTAATTAGCTGACTGCAAATTTTAGTTCTGGGGGTTGTGACTTGGTGAATTGATTTTACTACCAAGAATAGCGCATGTGGTTTTCACACAGCTATTCCTTAAGTATATACAAAACCTGTTCTTAAATGTGTCTTCTGATCAGGCACCCTATAGATCAGCGGTTCTCAACCTGTGGGTCACGACCCCTTTGGGGGTCGAACGACCATTTCACAGGGGTCGCCTAAGACCATCGGAAAACACATATTTCCGATGGTCTTAGGAACCGAGACACCGCTCCTCTATCTGTCTCAGGCGATGTGTGGGCGGGATGACATGCTGCCCCTGTCACCTGGCCACACCTCCGGGATCACTCAACAGCTCCGCCTCCTCGCCGGTGATTGGCCACCGGAACTGTAGCTCAGGAGAGGCACACAGGCGGCCAATCGCCGGCGAGGAGGTGGAGCTTGGAGAGGAGAAGCCGAGCGGCAGCGCGCCATAGATCAAAGAAGATTGAGTGAGGGAGCTGCCGAAGCGAGTGAAGTGGAGAGCGGCCAGAGAAGGAAGACAGCTGACAGGTAAGTGCAAATTTTGCTGCTGCAGCCAGGTATGCTGGCTGTAGATGGGAGAGGGAGGGAGGGAGCGAGCCCAGGCTGGAGCAGGGGTCAGCAAGGTAAGTATCATTGGTGTCAGTGGGAGGAATAGTGCCCCATCATTGGTGTCACTAATACCAATGATGGGGCACTATTTCTCCCACACATACACCAACGATGGGGCACTATTCCTCCCCCCACTGACACCAACGATGGGACACTATTCCTCCCCCCACTGACACCAACGATGAGGCACTATTCCTCCCCCCCACTGACGCCAATGATGGGGCACTATTCCTCCCAATGACACCAATGATGGGGCACTATTCCTCCCACAGACACCAATGCTGGGACACTATTCCTCCCACTGATACCAACGATGGGGCACTGTTCCTCCCACTGAAACCAATGATGGGACACTATTCCTCCCACTGAAACCAATGATGGGACACTATTCCTCCCACTGACATCAGTGATGGGACACTATTCCTCCCACTGACATCAGTGATGGGACACTATTCCTCCCACTGACATCAGTGATGGGACACTATTCCTCCCACTGACATCAGTGATGGGACACTATTCCTCCCATTGACATCAGTGATGGGACACTATTCCTCCCATTGACATCAGTGATGGGACACTATTCCTCCCATTGACATCAGTGATGGGACACTATTCCTCCCACTGACATCAGTGATGGGACACTATTCCTCCCACTGACATCAGTGATGGGACACTATTCCTCCCACTGATATCAGTGATGTGGCACTATTCCTCCCACTGACACCAACGATGTGGCACTATTTCTCCCACTGATACCAATGATGGGACACTATTCCTCCCGCTGATACCAATGATGGGGCACTATTCCTCCCACAGACAACAATGATGGGGCACTATTCCTCCCACAGACACCAATGATGGAGCACTATTCCTCCCACAGACAACAATGATGGGGCACTATTTCTCCCACTGATACCAATGATGGGACACTATTCCTCCCACTGATACCAATGATGGGACACTATTCCTCCCACAGACAACAATGATGGGGCACTATTCCTCCCACAGACACCAATGATGGAGCACTATTCCTCCCACAGACAACAATGATGGGGCACTATTTCTCCCACTGATACCAATGATGGGACACTATTCCTCCCACTGATACCAATGATGGGACACTATTCCTCCCACTGATACCAATGATGGGGCACTATTCCTCCCACTGATACCAATGATGGGGCACTATTCCTCCCACAGACAACAATGATGGGGCACTATTCCTCCCACAGACACCAATGATGGAGCACTATTCCTCCCACAGACAACCAATGATGGGGCACTATTCCTCCCACTGATACCAACGATGGGGCACTATTCCTCCCACTGATACCAACGATGGGGCACTATTCCTCCCACTGATACCAACGATGGGGTACTATTCCTCCCACTGATACCAACGATGGGGCACTATTCCTCCCACTGATACCAACGATGGGGCACTATTCCTCCCACTGATACCAACGATGGGGCACTATTCCTCCCACTGATACCAACGATGGGGCACTATTCCTCCCACTGATACCAACGATGGGGCACTATTCCTCCCACTGATACCAACGATGGGGCACTATTCCTCCCACTGATACCAACGATGGGGCACTATTCCTCCCACTGATACCAACGATGGGGCACTATTCCTCCCACTGATACCAACGATGGGGCACTATTCCTCCCACTGATACCAACGATGGGGCACTATTCCTCCCACTGATACCAACGATGGGGCACTATTCCTCCCACTGACACCAACGATGGGGCACTATTCCTCCCACTGACACCAACGATGGGGCACTATTCCTCCCACTGACACCAACGATGGGGCACTATTCCTCCCACTGACACCAACGATGGGGCACTATTCCTCCCACTGACACCAACGATGGGGCACTATTCCTCCCACTGACACCAACGATGGGGCACTATTCCTCCCACTGACACCAACGATGGGGCACTATTCCTCCCACTGACACCAACGATGGGGCACTATTCCTCCCACTGACACCAACGATGGGGCACTATTCCTCCCACTGACACCAACGATGGGGCACTATTCCTCCCACTGACACCAACGATGGGGCACTATTCCTCCCACTGACACCAACGATGGGGCACTATTCCTCCCACTGACACCAACGATGGGGCACTATTCCTCCCACTGACACCAACGATGGGGCACTATTCCTCCCACTGACACCAACGATGGGGCACTATTCCTCCCACTGACACCAACGATGGGGCACTATTCCTCCCACTGACACCAACGATGGGGCACTATTCCTCCCACTGACACCAACGATGGGGCACTATTCCTCCCACTGACTGACACCAACGATGGGGCACTATTCCTCCCACTGACACCAACGATGGGGCACTATTCCTCCCACTGACACCAACGATGGGGCACTATTCCTCCCACTGACACCAACGATGGGGCACTATTCCTCCCCCCTGACACCAACGATGGGGCACTATTCCTCCCCCTGACACCAACGATGGGGCACTATTCCTCCCCCTGACACCAACGATGGGGCACTATTCCTCCCCCTGACACCAACGATGGGGCACTATTCCTCCCCCTGACACCAACGATGGGGCACTATTCCTCCCCCTGACACCAACGATGGGGCACTATTCCTCCCCCTGACACCAACGATGGGGCACTATTCCTCCCCCTGACACCAACGATGGGGCACTATTCCTCCCCCTGACACCAACGATGGGGCACTATTCCTCCCACTGCAAAATTACAGTTATGAAGTAACAACGAAAATAATTTTATGGTTGGGGGTCACCACAACATGAGGAACTGTAGTAAAGGGTCGCGGCATTAGGAAGGTTGAGAACCACTGCTATAGATAGTGGATGTCCGCCTGGCAGGGAGATGGATAGCACTGGTAAAAAATTACCACTGTAACTGATCAGTGCCATGTTACAGCATTAATTGCATGTTCAGTGTTTGAGATATACTTAGCATGTTCCATGGAAAGGATTGATTAAAAAAAAAATATATATATATATAGCATTTATGAAAGGTTACTCTTCCTATATATTGTGACATGTCACTTAACCAATGTTATTGAAAGACATGCTTTGACCCCTTTCCCACAACCCTATAGCAGAAATACTGCTATCGGGCGGCAGGGTTGTGCAAAATCACATGTGTATGTATATATATATATATATATACACGTGATTCTGCATGTCAGGGTAGGGGGCGCACGCGCCCTACCCGCGCCGCCATTGGTGGCCTCACCTGTTGATCACCGGGTCCCAGCTGGTGATTCCCCGCCTACACCCGGCGATCACCATCTATCAATGACGGGGGAGAGACCTGTTTGTAAACAATACAGATCTCTCCCCTGTCAGCTCCTGCACATTGCTTTGTATTGCTCTGCGATGTAATGTGCTTACACAGTAAAGCATGCACAAAGTGTAAAACACAGCACACACAGTTAACCCTTTGATCGCCCTAGATGTTATCCCCTTCCTGCCCAGTGTCATTAGTACAGTATCAGTGCTTTTTTTTTTTTTTTTTTAAAGCAATGATCACTGTATTGCGGTCACTGGGGTTGTTCGTGGCAGAATGCCCACCGCAGTCCCGCTATAAGTCGCTGATCGCCACCATATTAAAGTATTGAGAAAAAAAATTTGTAAAAATTCTCTCCCTCTCTGTAAGATCTAGTGTAATAGGGTGATTTTGTGTATCCTAATGTCCCTACTCTTCTCAGTTTCTTGTTTTGTACAGTGTTGGTCTCTGCCCCTTAGGCAAATGTAAGAGCATAATGACCTACTAAGCTGTAAGTGTGGAAAAACCTATGACTTCTGATCTGTGCAGCCTGAAGAGCTGAAAGCAAGAGGGGGTCATAGGGAATCCCAGGCTACAATGCTTACACAGCACCAGAAAGTCCTGGAAAAGTCATAAGCTAGCATAGTCATAGTTAGCATAGCTATGCTGTATAAAATGACAGTGGAGAAAGGTTAGAACCTCAGTTTGTTGTTCTGTACCTATTGAGGATGTTTCCCACCATTACCTGTCCTAGAGACAATAGATAGTCATCTCAAAAGTAAAGCAACAATTTATTTGCACCTCGATAAAGCATGAATGCTTTCAAGAGCCAAATGAACTGTGGTGTTTGCAAATGTTTGCATTCCAGTGCATTTATTAATTAAAATTTTTTACTTGTAAAGAAATGGTTTAAAAAAAAAAAAAAAAAGTAGTGTGTGTTTGTGAAACTTGCCTGTTCAAGGATCCAGTGCTGTCCTCTCCCGGGTTGGTTCCTCACTGGTCTTCGCATTTCCGGTACCAGCATGCTTACTAAGGGAATCCAGCTGTGACTCCATGCAGCCTCACAGCCGGCTTTCCCCTGCACATTGTGAATGATCCTGCAGGCTTCTTTGACCTGTGACATGTCCCAGAAGGCTGTGGCCAAAGAGGATTGGGGGCAGACTACCAATCAAACTGTCTAGGTGAATTGAGCAGAAGTGGGAGCAGATATCTATCAAAACTAGGTACTCATTCCCCCCTCCCCGAGAAGAATGTTGATGTTGCAGATTAGGGCACCTGAATATAGTAGTTCTTCACATTGAGTGATTAAAGGCAGCTGTAGGCATTTATTAAGTAGTAATATGGGATGTTTTTACATTTCAGATATTTTTCTCAAACTTGATACGTTTCTCTTCCAGATCGCGATCAAGAGATAGGAGGCGACGAAGGTCACGATCCTCTTCTCGTGACAAGCGAAGATCAAGATCAAGGGACCGACACAGGCGACATCGTAGTCGATCAGGAAGTCGTAACAAAAGTTACCATGGCAGTTCTAGAGATAAGGAGAGATCAAAAAAATAACTACTGCAAGCAATTGCAGAGGTAATGAGCAATGCATTGATTTTATAATGTGCTTTACTTAAAAAACAAACAAACTGGGAGACCACGTTCTACAAATTATGACTAAAATGAATGGGTACCCTCATCTGGATGTATCAGTAATGGCTACTAATTTATAATAGATACAGGAAGCAGTACATGGCCACTGGCCCACTTGCCATACCTACATTACACTGTGGGGGAAAAAAATGTCTGAGCAAATTTTTAAAACATACTTTACTGTACACCTAAATTTTGCACCCCAGAAGGTAATCTTCCACTGAGATTCTAGGGATGTCAAGTATCCATAATTGTGAAAAAGTTGCTTCTGAAAATGCTAGTTGATGGTATTTGTGTGCAGCTTCACTACAGCAACTGTCTCAAAGTGTGTGTGTGTGTGTGTACAGTTTAAAAATAATTAAAGGAACACTTTGAAAACACATCATATCTCAAAGGGAAAAATATCATGCTGTATATCTATACTGATAAGGACTGGGTAATGTTAGGAACGTAAGGATGCCCCATCATTTGATGAAAATGATCAACCTACAGAGGACTGAATTCAAAAACACCCCAAAAATCAAAGTGAAAAAATGATGCAGCAGGCTAGTCCATTTTGCTGAAATTTCATTGCAGCAACTCAAAATGGTACTCAGTATTTTTTATGGCCCCCTTGTGCTTGAATGCATGCCTGACCACGTCAGGGCATGCTCCTAATGCGAGAACGGATGGCGTCCTGGGGTATTTCCTCCCAGATCTGGACCAGAGCATCACTGATCTCCTGGACAGTCTGTGGTGCAACCTGGCGGTATGACATGGACCGACGCATGATATCCCAGAGGTGTTCTATTGGATTTAGGTTAGGGGAGCTTGGGGGCCATTCAATGATATCAATTCCTTCATCCTCCAGTAACTGCCTGCATGCTCACGCCACATGAGGCTGGGCATTGTCATGCACCAGGAGGAACCCAGGACCCACTGCACCAGCGTAGGGTCTGACAATGGGTCCAAGGATTTCATCCCGATACCTAATGGCAGTCAGGGTGCCATTGTCTAACCTGTAAAGGTCTGTGTGTCCCTCCATGGATATGCCTCCCCAGACCATCACTGACCCACCACCAAAACAGTCATGCTGAACGATGTTACATACAGCGTAACATTCTCTATGGCTTCTCCAGACCCTTTCACGTCTGTCACGTGCTCAGTGAACCTGCTGTCATCTGTGAAAAGCACAGGGCACCAGTGGCGGCCTTGCCAATTCTGGTGTTCAATGGCAAATGCCAATTGAGCTTTATGGTGCCGGTCAGTGAGCACAGGGCCCACTAGAGGACGTCGCCTTAGACCACCCTCATGAAGTCTGTTTCTGATTGTTTGGTCAGAGACATTCATACCAGTGGCCTGCTGGAGGTCATTTTGTAGGGCTCTGGCAGTGCTCATCCTGTTCCTCCTTGCACAAAGGAGCAGATACAGGTCCTGCTGATGGGCTAAGGACCTTCTACGGCCCTGTCCAGCTCTCCTAGAGTAACTGCCTGTCTCCTGGAATCTCCTCCATGCCCTTGAGACTGTACTGGGAGACACCACAAACCTGGCAATGGCACATATTGCTGTGCCATCCTGGAGGAGTTGGACTGCCTGTGCAACCTCTGTAGGGTCCAGGTATCGCCTCATGCTACCAGTAGTGACACTGACCCGTGCCAAATGCCAAACTAGTGAAAAACAAAAAGGTGAGTAGGGAAAAAAAGGTCAGTGGCCTCCACCTGTAAAACCATTCCTGTTTTGGGGGTCGTCTCATTGTTGCCCATCTAGTGCACCTGTTATTCATTTCATTACCACCAAAGCAGCTGAAACTGATCAACAACCCCCTCTGCTACTTACTTGACCACATCAATATCCCAGGAGTTTAACTGACTTGATGCTATGCTCTGATTAAAACGTGTTCCTTTATTTATTTTGAGCAGCGTGTGTACGTATGCCCTCAGTCCTAGGCACAGTCACCTGGCTAGTGTTTACTGTCTGCTTTTTGGTGATAAGAAATTATCTTTTTGTTACACTCAAAATGTATGGAATTCAGGTTAGAATTCAGCAAAAAAACTTTTCCACCCAGCTGGTGGGGCTGTAGGCTTTTCCCCTCCCCCACAAACGGCACACTCTCCCTTGACAATGATGTTGGAAAATGCTTGTTTGCAGAGATCATCCAAAGAAATTTACCATGTGAAATGTTGATTACCCTTTCTATATCAGTTGTAATTTGGGTCCACTGGCCCATTTTAATATTATGCAGGGATGTGCAATTCCTTTTCGCCTGACACCCAGGGCATGTAGTGCCGGGCAGGTCTTTTTTTTTTTTTTTTTTTTTTTTTTTTTGCCTTTTAGCAAGCACCTGTCAGGTGGAAGCATTTGCGCAGCAGCGCTGCCACCCGATTGCGTCCACACAGCCGACAGTGTCAGTCTCCTCCCCCTGCCACGCTATATGTCCTGGGCTCTGCTTGCCCATATGCATGCCCGGGACTGGCTCAATGTGCTCCAGCGGGATGTGCTATCGGGGAGGGAGGAGAACGGACACATCTGCTCCCCTTCTCCTCCTGACCCGGAAGTGATGTGACATCACTTACGGGTCCCTGTTTGACATATTCCCAGTCATTGAGGCCGTGAAAGAATATAATGCGGTGTGATGTGCACTGCATTACATTCACTGGGGCACAGGGGAGACATCCAGGGTCTTTAGAAATTTTTCAAGGCCCCCCACCCCGACCTATATGCATGCACAAACGTAAAAGCACACACTCTGGGGACTACACATGAAAACGTTGATTGCAATATGTTACATATCGCCATGCATGCCAGAATGAGAGCAATAATTCTAGCACTAGACCTCCTCCATAACACTATACTGATGACCTATAAGGGGCTTTAAAAGCACCACCTATAGAAAATATAGGGTACTGAAGTTTGTTGCCATTTCACGAGTGCACGCAAATTTAAGGTTTGACATGTTGGTTATCTATTTACTCAATGCAACGTCATCTTTTATATTTAACAAAAAAATTGGATGTTAGTTTTTTTGTTCCCTAATTTTTTTTACCTTTGTAATAATATCGGTGTGACATAAAAAATTGGAACTACCTTCATTTCATTCTCTAGGGTCTCCGCTTTCAGAAAATATATAATGTTTGGGGATTTTGTGTCATCTTCAGGCCTTAAATTATTTTTAAACATGTGCAAATAACGCAAAAAAAAAAAAACAGCTCTGGCAGCTAATTGGATAAAGGATAAGCTGGACACTCCCATTTCCTGACGAGCAGCCAATTGGTGCTCATTACACTGCAAAGTCTCTCTCCTTACTGCTAGTCCCTTGATGCGATGCTGGAGACAGTCAGGGAGGGGAGGAGGAGATAAACAATGCAATGTTAAAAATATTAAACGTTTAAGTCACCATAAAGCCCCAGACATTACTTAAAGGAGATTTAAATAATGTTTTGGTTAAAATGTACGTTTTTTTTTTTTTTTTTATCAGGACAAGTAGATTTTGATGAGGGACAAGTAGATTGGGACACTGATTTAGTCCCTGGACAAGTAGTTTTTTCAAAAATTTACACACCCGTTATGTATAGGTATTTTTCAAGATGTTTGTGCAATAAATGCTCTGTAAATGTAACTGCATATATCTTTATCTTTGTTGTAGATCAGCAGGGATCACACAGCTACGATAACAAAGTCTTGAGGTTTGACTTTGCATCTGGGGAACCTGCACTGCATCAAATAACATACTTTGTGTTGTATTTTTAATCAATCGAGCAATGTTCTATAAATGACAATAAAGCTTTTTTTCTTACTGAAAGCTCACATTTGATAAATTCAATTTTTTTATTGTTTGAAAATAGCAATGTTATTAATTATATTCTGCTTGCCCTCAGTTGAAAGTAGTTGGTATACAATTAAATCATTTGTTTAGTGTACTAATTTTGTTTATTGTGTTTTTTAGGGGACATGGATGGGGAAGTTACATACGAAAAACTGTTAATGTAGTTTCATGTGATTTCAAGCCTATGTATTATCTGTTGAAATGTTTTGTCAATAGAAATATGCTTGCTGTAGTAGATCAGCTACTCTTTCCTTTAAAAAAATGTACATTTAAGGTATGTTGAACAAGTTTGTCCAAGTATTTCAGACTAAATCCACGCAAAATAAAAATACATGTGGGCAGTGTTAATGGAGGTAACATGTTGTATGTTTCCTATGTTATCTAGTGTGGTGATTCAGAGAGATTCTGCTATACATTTACACATTTGGAAAATTGGATCATAAACCTAATGTATCTAAAGCCAAAATGACTTTTTAATAGAATGTGAAACGCTTAGAACATCTGTAAGGTTTTTATTGCTGCCTGTGTCCCTGCTGGGAAAATTCACCCTCTTCATTCTAGTGATCATTGTCACTGGCATTCAAAGTGAAATGAAATCCAAACTTTTGAGTTGTCACCAGGACAGGAATAATGTAGAAGTCTTCCACTTGTTTCGGTGACCGCTATTAGTTTTGTTTTTGTTTGCCATCCATCCCATTTGTATGATTTTATTCTTTTCCGGTCCCAAAGACACATCAGTGAGAAAAAACCCTGACGGGTATCACCCTTGTGTCATCCTACTCTGTCCAAAATGGGAAAAAATGTTTTGGCCATATATATTCTTTAAAAAAATCAGTAGATACCTTAGAGAATGTTTGTGTGGTATTGAATTGAATGGTGTTTTGAATGGAGTCCTCTTAGTTAAATCTCAGACACTAAAGGTTTACAAATGTAAAAATCACCACCACCTTTTCAGCAGTAATGCTGCTTTATTTACACATGAAGTATCCCAAGGGAAAGACCAAAGTTCCTAGGCTGGTAGGTTAGTAGTTAACTACTGTAGGATTCAGCTTGTAAAAGAGGAGTATGTACGGCAGTCTTTCATGAAGCATTTTCAAAGATTTCATTTAGCTTTGAGCAG